ATGCCCATATACACACATGCCCATATACACGGATGCCCATATACACAGATGCCCATATACACACATGCCCATATAAACAGATGCCCATATAGACACATGCCCATATACACAGTTGCCCATATACACACATGCCTATATACACGGATGCCCATATACACACATGCCCATATACACGGATGCCCATATACACAGATGCCCATATAAACACATGCCCATATAAACAGATGCCCATATATGCACATGCCCATATACACACATGCTCACATACATGGATGCCTACATACACACATGCCCATATACACACATGCCCACATATACCCATGCCCATATAAACACATGCCCATATACACAATTGCCCATATACACACATGCCCATATAAACAGATGCCCATATAGACACATGCCCATATACACAGTTGCCCATATACACACATGCCTATATACACGGATGCCCATATACACACATGCCCATATAAACAGATGCCCATATATGCACATGCCCATATACACACATGCTCACATACATGGATGCCGGGCCGTGCCCTACCTCTGGCAGGGACAGCTTCCTTTGTTCCAGTGTATGGGTCTGTATCGCCGTCACTTCCCTGACAGATTTCAGGAGCTGAGTGCCCGAGGGATTGGTTTCTTGAAGGCCAGACCCTGGAAGTGCTTGGGAGCGTCAATGGTGTACTCTCTCCTCACCACCGAGTTAGGGGCAGAGGGGCCCCTCTTGCCACTCTTTGCTGTAGGAGCCAGTCTGGTGGTTCCAAAGGAAGAAGAGCATACATGCCCATATACACCATGCCATATACACACATGCCCACACACATACATGCCCATATACACACATGCCCAGATACACACATTCCCATATACACCATGCCCACATACACACATGCCAATGTACATGCATGCCCACATACACACATGCTCATATATACCCATACCATATACACACATGCCCACACACATGCATGTCCATATACATGCATGCCCATATACACACATGCCCCCCACACCCATATACACACATGCCCATACACATAGATGCTCATATACACATATGCCCACATACACCCATGCTCACATACACACATGCCCACATATACCCATGCCCATATAAACACATGCCCATATACACAATTGCCCATATACACACATGCCCATATAAACAGATGCCCATATAGACACATGCCCATATACACAATTGCCCATATACACACATGCCCATATAAATGGATGCCCATATACACAGATGCCCATATACACACATGCCCATATACATGGATGCCCATATACACAGATGCCCATATAAACACATGCCCATATAAACAGATGCCCATATATGCACATGCCCATATACACACATGCTCACATACATGGATGCCTACATACACACATGCCCATATACACACATGCCCACATATACCCATGCCCATATACACACATGCCCATATACACGGATGCCCATATACACAGATGCCCATATACACACATGCCCATATAAACAGATGCCCATATAGACACATGCCCATATACACAGTTGCCCATATACACACATGCCTATATACACGGATGCCCATATACACACATGCCCATATACACACATGCCCATATAAATGGATGCCCATATACACACATGCTCACATACATGGATGCCTACATACACACATGCCCATATACACACATGCATGTGTTGTGCACATTCCACAGCCTCCTCTCACACCTACTGAATCAGAACGTCCAGGTTCAGATGCCCACGGACTGTGTCACTGGAAAGTCTGGGAACCCTGCATTAGAGGGGATCCCTGTGGAGTCAGCTCGTCCGTGAATGTTGCAGATCAACAGTGACTGTCACTAACGCAGAGGTCAACCTGCTCGCTTGGTTCAGGACTCTGGTCTCTAGTTACTAGGTACGTCTGGGTTATAGTTTACTTTGCATATATAGTTTATTTCTAGTTAGTTTATTTACTATATAGTTTATAGTTTGTTTCTCAAATATAGTTTATTTACATCTTTGTTTCTGGTTGGTCTGGTACAGTGAGAAACAAGGCTCCCCCCGCCCCGGGTCTATGTCTGGATGAATTTATAGACCGAAGCAGGTTTGGTTTCCCATCTTGAGTCTGCGTTTTGCCCTGCATGTGGCCAATATCAGCAGGGGCCGATCTTGCCTCTCCCTGACTCCGTCTGCCTCTTGACTCCTGGAGGAACAGTCCCGATTCCAGGCTGTTTACCATGTCCTTTGCCGTTTTCTCAGCACCACCGTCTGTCTGCCTATCTGTCTGTCCGCCCAGTCATCCACCCACCTGTCTGTCTACCTACCACACAGGACACCCCCCCATCCCTCTACCTACCACACGGACACCCACCCGTCCAGCTACCTACCACACGGACACCCACCCATCCATCCACCTACCACCCGCACAGACACCCACCCACC